TTTAAACCTCTGACCAGGACCTCATTCAAATAAATTGTCAAAATATCAGAAGAAAAATTCTTGTGAAGCAAGTATTATCATTCATTAATCTTGAGCTGACTTCTGATAATAATAAAAAATATATAATATTAGCCTGCCAATGAAATACGAATGAAAGGAGATCACTATAATTTTTGTGAATTCTTCCTTTTTTTTACATTGTTAGATGATCTTTTATGCCTATTTTATTTTCTATAATAAATCATCTTTAGGGTAAAAAGAAACACGAATTTTAATCTAAGACATTTAAAGATAAATTTAACAAATGATTGACGTGCAGTAACAGCAAACAAAACGTACCCATTTTTGTCAGGGATGATTGATGCTGATGCTGATTATATTAGTTCTATCCTAAGGCAGCATGTTATAAAGCCGCAAACCAATTTACACATGCACCTTAGGTTCTTTTTCATTCTGAAATCGCAATGCTGAATAGTCAACATCTTAATCTCAACTGCAATACCAATTTCTTTTCTTAACAATTTCCCTAAAATAAGACATCCTTCATGGCTAGATGTAAACATGTCATATTAAAACCTAATATGTTTGATCAGGGTGGCAGTGGATGCAAAATTCACTCATGGTGGTGTATAATGTTAGAGTGAGAGGGGGAGGAGAATGAGAGAAAAAGGCAAGATGAGCGGATTATCTTTCTTGGGTGAAATTCCTACTTAGGTCGCCAAGGATAAGAGCAGGTGATTATAAGCAGTGGTTTGATGTAAAGCCACAAGTCTCACTCAGAGACAGAGATTTTCAGGGCTTTATTTTAAAACTTCTCTTGGTGGTATGAAAAAAATCGTAATCCACATTAAAACAACTTTTAATCATTCATTTTGTGTTTTAAAGCTCTGTGGCTCGCATAAAAAAATTGATTACATCTTGAATCTGATTTTAACATCTGCCTAATGATCAGAGGATGCTGTGATGACACTGTTTAGCCAATATCCTTTAGGGCCGTTGGTATAAAAAAATCCCAGGCAAGACTTTATAGATGGGAATTACCATAGGGGTTAAGTTATCTGTATAAATCATTCCCTTTTTTCATTTGAAGCTACTGTCCTGCAGGCATGATTAACAAGTATAGTAGCTGCTGATATGAAATCCAAGGGCAACCCCAGGGCTGCAAATCACACAGTTTAGCCTTTCCATTTGCTTAGTCCTGTCAAAGCAACAAAAGGAAAAATAGATCTGAAGTAAAAAAAAAATTAAAAGGTTTTTATTTTTGTGATGAAATATTAAAATTTGTATCCATGCCATAATAAGAGGAAACTAGGACAGTGTGTCACATCTCCCAGAGGAGAGGATAGACAGCTAAATCCTCTCATTCTGCAGCATGATCCAGCATCATCTAAGCACTTGGCTGCCTCTTGACATCGGTCTCAGTCGTATCTTTTTTTTTCTCCTTTTCACACAATAAATAGCACAGGTTTCTACACCCTTTACTATACTTTTTTTTTTAGAAGTGAGGAGTCTAGACATGTGGACCATTTCTTGGGAAATAATGCAGCTGCTCTATATTCATGATTTGGTTTTGTTTTCTGTTTATTGTTGATGCAAATGAATGTGGAGAAGAGAATCGCATCGTGGCCTGTGAATCGTGATTCCAATCGAATCGTGACTTCTTTGGCGATACCCACCCCTACTTAGAATAATGAGAGAGGTCTGTAATTAGGTTTGGCTGTTTGTTTTCTCCTTTCTTATAAAGGTTAGTCAACACAACTTATGCTGGATGCAGGCATTATTCTAAACAATTCTTAATTATTTGAAGGGAATGTGTTAGGCGGCTGATCGTTTTCCTTGCCAACGATGCCTCTGTCTATTTTCATGTAGATAAAAACCTCAACAGGTTTACTAACCCGTATATAGGTAGCACCAGCTTAAAGATAAGGTCGCTCAGTCATCTTGGCGGGGCAAAGAGTTGAGCTCCACTTTGAGCTCTTCATTATAAGGAGTCAGTTGAGGGGGTTTGGGGTCTGATCAGAATGCCTTATGAGTATAGCTGAGGCCTGAACTTTACCCCTGAGATAAAGGAAAGACAATTGATGAAAGGATTTCTTACCTACAGCATGGACGTTTAAATACATGACATTTTATTTTGGAGGAATTGTAGTTAGTTTGTTATAAAGCTCTTTGCAAGTTAAAAACAGAAATTTAACATAATAGATATATTCTTTCCCCAAGAAAAATAAAAAAAAGTTTTGTCTGAAGTCCATTAGCCAATGTTTTTATTTGCAAAGACATATTTTAAAAACAAATTTTTTTTCTGTTATCCTTTTTCAAGATCCGGCGTCCTTCATCTTTTATATGTGTCTCTGTTTTAACACCCCTGTATCAAATGGTTGAAATACCTTTTTAGTGTGTTGTCAAGTTCTCCAGAGTACTGCTAATGACCTGATTACTTGACCCAAGTCTGTTAAAGTAAAAGAAAAAAAAAAATCTGCAGCACATTGGACCTCGAGCATTGGAGTAGAAATTCTTTGATCTAGGTCAGGGGTCGGCAAACCAAACTGTTCAAAGAGCCACATTGAACTAAAAAGACAAAAAACAAATCTGTCTGGAGCCGCAAAAATATAAGTCTTATATAAGCCTCATATGGCAACACGGGCTGTTAGTGTATTACTGTAACCCACTATAAAAAAGGACTACGTGGGCTTAAATATATAAGAAGCATTCAGGATTAAATGTTCATCCTGGAGCAAATGTCACATGATGTGACTACTCTGCTGTACGATATTTGGTACTTTAAGTTTAAATTCCAATGCAATATTAATGTATTAGGTTTTGTTGCATTGATGAAATTATAGAAACATGAAAAAAGAAATCTGATGTTTGGTGAAATTATTTTTCATTTTGAGGATTTCGGGAAAAAAGGAAGAAAGGTCACATACCTGCATCAGAGCGCTACCTGTTCAATCTATGAACGGTTCTCTATGCTTGCAACACAGTTAGCAGCAGTAGTGGAGTTTGGAGATGCAATCCACTTCTTTAATCTATCTTTGCTCTGCTGAAATTAATTAATTAATTAATGTTCTGCAATCACACTTTTTCTCTCACTTTTAACTTGGTGATCGGCTGCATATTTAGCATGCCTTTCCTGGAAATGCCTTTGCAAATTACTCTTACTTACTATTCTTTGGCAACGTCTCGTTGTCAAAGCAAACATGCAGTCAATCCTTCCGCATTGGTGATGAAAGCAAATGATTCAGTCCATTCTTCTTTGGATCCTCTGTTCTCATCAGCTATCTTCCCCTTTGGGATCCATGGCCCAAGACACACCCGCCGCTTTTTTCCAACATCCAACATGCCTACCACAATTTTTTACTGAAATAGAGTAAAGTCCAGTATTATAAAATCTATTTTAGGTCAGGTTTGGAACCTTTATTTGAAGTACTTAGTTTATCAGTCTGTTGTTGTTTTAGAGCTGCTGCTGTTTTGAATTATTTTCTCCATCTGGCCAGCTGGCCATTGCTTTCTGGCCAACGCCTGTCACAAATCACTACAGCCTCACGTCTACTCACAACATGCAGGGACAGAGACAGAAAATCAATTGGCCTTAATGGGCTTCTCCATCAGTCCAAATATCTGAAGTTTGATGCTCAATGGTGGAAAGACAGATGGTTAGGAGGATTTACAGGGTAAGGTGATGGAAGCTGGGCCTAAGGTCATGCAAGGATTGTTTTCGTTAAGTGAAAGTGCTTCGAAAGTGTTGTGTTTTTGGTAACAGCTATTAAAGCAGAACAAGTTGATACAGGTGAGACAGGTATTTTCAAAAGGGAGTAAAAAAATAAAGCAGTATTAGCCAACAAAATTTTTAAAACTTTTTAAACTAATCGTTTCTGTTATATCAATATATAAAAAATTAAGATTTTTATAAAATTCTTATTGTATTTTTAAGAATCAAACCCCTGTAATTATTACTGAGCAACCTTTTTGCACATTGACTTTCATTTTCCTCCATGGCATACGCTGAACATTACTGGCATATACTTAGAGTATGCATAACAAGGCCAGAACTTGTTTCCCAAGCCTGTGTCCTGAGGGGAGCAGTCATGTGCACGAAAGCGCTCAGCCTGCATAAAAAGATTTAATTAATTGCGGTATTAACCTAGCTGCTGTTTACCACCCACCAAAAAAAATAATAAAAATAATAAATAGATAAAAAAGAAAAAAGAAATAAAGAAGGTTTGCAATCACTGCAGATTCTGCGTCATGTCTGCTTGGAAGTTTGTTGGTCAAACTTTCAGTTGGAAGACTGGCAGGTCTTACAGTTTTTATCACTTCTTTTAATCACATCAGGCTCTCAAACACGTTTTTTTTTGGCAAAGTAAGCATAACTTAAAACCCATTTTTTCTGGATGAATAACTCAACAATGGTATAAGTTTACTTTGAACCCAGGGAGCAATGTGGGGTTAAGGGTCTTGCTCAAGGACCCAGAGTGGAGGCTGTGGGGATCGAACCGCATACTTGCAACCTTCTAAGAGCAGAAGCGCACTGCTCTAACCCACGAGGACAACACTCCCCTCAACACAGAACATGTCAGAACATAACTTAAGTAGCACTCCCTCCTTACTTAAAAAATAGTCAAACAATAATATATCAGAATATTAGGTTTAGAGTCTGAATTTCATAATTTACTTTTACTTCACCTGATGAATTCACATGCTGATATCAATATGATTGCACTTTGCTCAACAAACGTTTTGCAGAGAAATACGGTGTGAAATTTTATAATGACTGGATCTTATGCTGGTGAAGATTCTAAGTCATCGAGGTCATAGTCGTTCAAAAAAGTAAAAAAAAAAAAAAAATCTACTGGACTTTTTTTGCAAGTTTTAAAAATGTAAATTTGGAAACAAAGTCCATGGATTGGTTTTAAACTTATTTTGGATCTGGATCTTATGGCAAGAAATCTTTTTTAAAATTTATGGAAAAGTGATTGTTTTTTTCTCTTTTTTTTCAGTGATGGACAGCAAGGTTATCTTTGATGGCCTGCAGAGGTATGGTCCCACGCCAATGTATCTGCCGGTTAGCTACCAGCTCATCAATGCTGAGTCAGCATTCTTCTTACTGGAGGCAAACCAGGACATTATGAGGAATTCTAGCCTGCAAGCACGAACAGAGTCCTTCTTTATCCATCAGGCTCGGCAGATGCCCTTTGTCAATGCTAGCTACGGGCCGCTCTCTGTCCAACAGCCAATTCCTTTAGAGATGCTACAAATACTGCCAGGTCCATTTAATACACCATCCCTAACTTTGTCATCAGCACCAACAGCAGAAACTTCTTCACCTCTGTTTACATTCAATTGGAAGGTCCACACATACATTATCAGTGAACAGATTCATCCCAGCTGGCCAAAGGTTCAGGTGTTGTTCTACATAGCAGGCAGGGACTGGGATGATTACAGCACCATTCACAAGCTACCCTGTGTCAGGATGTTTGCCTTTCATGAGACTCAAGAGGTGCGTGGCACATGCAGGCTAAAAGGCGAGCTGGGAATTTGTGTTGCTGAGCTGGAGCCTCTGGCCAGCTGGTTCAGCCCACCTACCGTGAGGCCCGGCAGGCAGCGTGAGTCTGAGCAGGCTCAGGGTACTCCTGTGGAGCTCTACTATGTAATTCAAACCATGGAGAATGGAGACTGCAGCTCAGAAGACTCTAGAAGAGGAAGCCCAGTTCACACAGAACAGCAGAGGCCTTTGGGCTACTTTGCAGGCCACACGCCTATGCAGCGCATTGGGAGCGTCAGACTGTTGCAGCCGTTATCGGAGCTGAAGTTGGACAATAACTTTGTGGTAATGGCTCCATCAAAACCCATCAGGCAAAGAGAGACAGTTTCAAGTTTTCTGGCCCTGTCCACGCTTTCATCAGTGCAAATTTTCACCCTCAGGTGAGTCATCTTTTATTTGTGTTATTGCTGTTTTTCCCCTTGTGGTTTGAAAACTTTTTTATAATGGATTGTTTGAGAAAGATTAAAATAATGGGTTAACATTTGATTTATAATGTTCCCACATTATGTTTCCTTTTCCTCCTTCTCCCTCAATCAGTGATATATAGCAAAAGCAGCATCCTAAAGACATTAGAAAACTAGTAAAATTGATGGCACATCTGACCATTATTATAGATTTATTTGCATTCGGAAATGGGGAAAAGGCAAACTCAAATGCAATCCGAGGGTTTATGTATGGTTTCCTTTTACCCTTAATACAGAATGAACAGGTTCCCTTTTATCTTAGATAATATTAAGTGCTGATCAGACAGATATAGAGTAATAAAAAAAAAAATTTCTATTTAGTTTGCCTTTCAGTTATATTTTTGAATGATTCCTCTTGAGGTAACTGTACAACAAACAAGTCTAAATAAATTAAAAAAGGAGCAATTAGAAACACAGGTTTTAATTTATTTGTGTATATTTTCCAATCTCAATAATTCTAAAAAAAAAATGTACATATAGGCCTAGATATTCAACTTCATTAATTAATATCTTCTTTTGAATTTCACTTGAATTCTTCATGAACCTTGGAAAATAATCAGCTTTATTATATCAGTAAAAGACACAAATTAACGTTATGTTCATGCCAATGCTAAGTACACTAAATATTCTGCACCAACGACTAACTTAATAAAATGGTGTTGTGACCATATTTTTTAATGTTTTCACATTGCAGAAGATTTACTCCCTTAAACTGCACAGTATCTGAGAACAAAAATGTGATGGATCAGTAGTTTATGGAGACAGTTTGACTTCATTCTTAAGCTCATTAGAGAGGTACTAGAGTGGGTAAAGTCATCTTAACTGCAAATGTGAGTATCTGAAGTTAATTAAGGTTGGATGAAACTTTAATTACATCTTTGTGCTCTCTTTTATATACCCTCATGTAATTGTTATATACACTTAAAAGTCTGGAGTCTTGTTGTCCCTTTTCTACTCAACAAAGGTACCACAAAGATTGACTCGCAAAGTTTTGCTTTCAAGCAAATGACTATTCAATTGAACTTTGATTGTTTTATGTTTTTTGATTGCTTTTAAGATATAAAAGCCATGCATTTTGGCTTGGCATTTTTCCTTCCTAAAATCTAAATCATGGCAGATGAATCAGTTAGCAGTGTCAAAGTGAAGCTGCAACAGAGAGCTTTGGCAATTTGTCAACCCTGGGTGAGCCGGAAATCTGCCAAAAAGCCTCATTGGTTTTTGTCTCACTCCAATGATGATGAACTCCCATAAAGTATTAGTGCTCCCACTGTGTGTTTGTCACATTTATCAGCGTGAGTGCAAATGGGAACTTTAAAGGCAGCACTCTGCCTTTAGTGCCTCTTTGCACCAGTGTTGCATACCATTCGTTTTAAGTTTTTTTTGTTTTTCCTTTGGGAGAGCAATGGTTTAAAATGCATCAAAGATATCTCATTAGTAACCAAAGGCTGAGACGTTAAAAATGTTTAAAAACCCAGGCAATTTCTGCACTGCTGTATGTCTATCTTGCCAAAGTTCAAGAGGATATACCTTATGCTGCTTGTTCTATCTTTCTTTTAGCTTGAATAACATAGTGACCAAGTTTTACCTGATCCTGCACATCTCATTTACATTTTAAAGCTCATGATATTTCCTTGATGAGGATGTACATTTACGTTACGTATTAACGAGGTGGGTTCATGGTGCAGTCTTTGTTTCCTCTGCCAAGGAGGTTTGCTTTTGGGAGTTTGTTTGTGTGTCTGTCTCTCTGTCTGTGTACAGGATAAGTTGAGAAGTTATGGATGGATTCTAATGAAGTTTTTATCAGAGCTATCCTTCCTGCTAAAGAAAAATCAATTACACTTTGGTGATAATACGAATAAATATCTAGTAGCAGGATTTTTTAAAAGAGATTCTCTAATTTTCTCTAGTATTTTACTGAAGACAGAAACACAAGAAAAAGGGGCTTTGTTGGTATGTTAGCAGGATTTTATGGATTTGTTTTTGCCAGAGGTGCGCCTTGTGCTAAGGAACAATTCATTAAAATTTGATGATTATCCACATCATGTATGAGTTTTAGTTACAAGTCAAAATTTCTGCAAAATCAGCTGCTTGGCAGAGGTCTGTGCTCTTCGTGTGGTTTTCTAGTAGTTAGTCTGTGGTGTTTATTCTCCTCCTTTCATCGCATGTATTTACAGCCTGTCAGTAAATGTTTGCCTTTGCTGTAGTGTGGCTTTGATTTTGGACAGTTTAATTTAAGTACCTTTGGTGTACTTTTCTCAGCTGTATCATTAACTATTCATTTGTCGCTCACTTTCTTCCCCACTATCTTTACTTCATGTTTTATCCATCCTCTACCTCTCATGTTCTTATTTGACTTGTGACAAAACAATATTAGAATTTCTTTTCAACAAGTGTACAGTATGCATACCAGGACTCCTGTGAAATGTTTTAAGAGGTTTTTATCAAAAATGTAACTTTTTTTAGGGTTTTTTTTTTTTCTATATGAAACTACTTATTGGACGGAATATTACAGTCTGGTGCAGAAATGCAATTGTTATGCATGAATTACAAACTTTATGAAATAATGAATAATTTAGTCAATGAACCAGCATGCTGGGTTTGCTGCTAAGTATATTACTATCTGCACAAAAGCAAGCACTTCACTGATTCTCTGATCCTGCTAAATGTTTATACCACTTCCCAATTTTACATTTCTACAACATGGGGACATAATGGACAACATGAATAGAATGTTGTTGAGTGAAAAAAATACATTTTCATATTTGTTTGTTTTTTTTGGATCAAAGAAATTTGAAAAGTGTGGCATGAAAGCAGTGTGTAGTCCATCCGAGTCACTACTTTCAAAACCACCTTCATGACCCTTTTTTTGTGTCAGCTTAGTCAAATTCAGTGGAGGGCATTTTTTGACATGCATTATCAAGTTTTGCCACAGATTTTCATGGAGGTTTATGTCGTGACTTTGCTGATGTTTCTAAATATTTCTAAAATCTTTTTCCACCTCTATTGGATTTTCAATTTTTTTTTTCAACCAGAAATGATTTTTTTTTTTTAACTCCATCTATTATCTTGCCTATTCTGATCAGCTTCCTTTATCCCACTGCTGAAACGCATCCCAATAGCTTTCCGCAATTGGTTTGAGTTTGATAAGGTAACTTCTTGCCAGATTCACAGTAATCCAATTAAGATAAATATAAATAATAAATTCATCTTACTAAAAATGTATCATGGAGTAAAATGAGGATTATTTTCAGTTCTTTTTTTAAGTGTTCAATGTTTTGCTGCATCCCCTGTTTATCAGGGAGACTGTTACGTAGACATGGTGTAGCAGAAAAAAAAACACCCATGGTTTGGAGCTTAGTCTGGGGGGGGGGATGGGGACAGTAAGATTTTGTTGAGTGGAGACCCTGTTGATGACTGGGAAGTGAGGAGTTCTTTAAGATATAAGATAAAGCTGCCATGTATGCATTGTTAAGTAAGCAGATATATCATATATTAATTTTAAGGGGGAAATAGGGAGCCAGAGAAGGGAATGAAGGATAGGAGTTGTTTACTTTGTCTCATCAGAATCTGGGCTGCACTGTTTTGAATATATTGTAGCTTATGGATGTGCTTGGATGGTGTTTCATAGAGAGGTGCATTGCAGTAATCCATTCTTAAGGAAATGAGAGCATGGGCTATTTTTTTCTGCACTGGATAAGAAGAGAAGTGAAGGGAGCTTACAGATGTTTTTGAGATGGTTGAAGGAAGCCCTATAAAGGTTTTTAACATGTGTTTGGATTATAAGATGGGGGTCAAATCTTACACTGAGTGAACATCTTTGAAACAGATGTTCCAGCCAGGGAAGATTGTGGTAGAGATGGATAAATAAATCTGATATAATTTATCTAGCTTCTGTTTTGAATGTGTTTGATTTCTGGAAATTGGGGTTCATCTAAGTTTCAACCCTTTCAAGAAAAGTTGTAAAAAAGGAGACAGATGATATTGAAGATAAAGGAGGATGCGACTGAGGTTTAATGTCTGCATAATGGTAGACTAAATCCTGTGGTGGGTGATAATGCTACCATGGCGGAGCATCTAAAGGGTGAACAAAGTGGGGCCAAGGACTGAGCCTTGAGGGTCTCCACAGTAGTAAAGGCATATTCTAATTTCTTAGAGATGTACATAGGAGCAGAACCAACAAGTCATCATGTATTAAATTGCAGACAATGGAGGAGGATGCAATGGTCCATGGTCTCAAACATTGTTGTCAGGTGCAGGAGAACCAGTACTGAAGGAGAGCCAACATGAGCACGGCGGAAACCGTAACAATTAACAATCAATGTTATTAAAAATGAGGCGGTGATGTAGGCGTGCTGCTACAAACAGAAATTTGCATTTGTGCCATTTGAAATGTTTTTTTGACCAGGTGAATATTGACATTTTTGGATAGAGGTTTATGGCAACAACTTTATTTCTGATCAGCCTAGGATGTTTGTCAGTCTGCATAATTCTGTTTGTGCAATTATATTATTTAAGACTTTAAGGGCTTCATTTATGTATACCAAAACGTTGAAATTTTCATATTTAAAACTGCTTGATAACTGATAATTCTTCAAACAAAATGTAATACAGATGGTGGTTTTACTAAAAACTGTCAAGATATTAAAGAGCTTATGGGATGCAGATACATTTGCACACCCCTTATTTTGATCCTATAGTGTTCATCGCAATATGTACATTTACTGACAAGAAAATCAAAGGTTAACTTTCCTTTAACTGTACATATGGTCCAGTGGCCTTTAGAAATATACACATGTCTGTCCTCGCCTATAGCCATTACTGTATGAAAAACCTGCTTGAAATTGCATAACTAGAGAAATTCCTCAATGTTTTCTGTTGGCTTCAATTTCCTGCCACTGACCAAACGAGAAAAGCAG